ATTTTGATCCATTTTGTGTTGCTATAACAAAATACCCAAGGCTAGGCATTTATTTAAAAAGAAGCTTCTTTAGCTCACAGTTCTGAAAGCTTAAAAAGCATAATGCCAGCACTTGTTTGGCTTTTGTGTGGGCCTCATTGCAGATGGCATCACAATGGTGTGAACATATGCAGGAGTGGCAAGTATGCTTGAGGAAGAAGGATTCAGCAGCAATGCTGGGCTCCCTTATAACAAAGTATTCTCATGGGAATGAACCTGGTCCTGAAAAGTCTATATTGATCTATTCCAAGAGTAAGGACTCCAATGACCTAATTACCTCCTGCTAGGCTCCACCTCTTACAGATTCCACCACAACACTGATTCACTCGGGACCAAGATTCCAGCACATGACTATATCCAAACCATAGCAAGAGGGGATGACTGTACTTAAAACTCTGCCTAACCCAAGAAACAAGTTAGTGATTGCTCTTCCCATTATTATTCTCCTATAAAATTATGCAAAAAATAATAAATATGTGGGATATCCTGATACTTTTGAGTAGTGAGCAATTTAGAGCCATGTGTTGGCTTAGAGAGAATCATTTTATTCCCAGACTAAAAACAGCATTAACACCTCTGCTAAAATCTCCCAACTGGGCTTAATTCTCAGTTCGATCTTTAGTCTAATAAAACTGAAAGATACAAAGCACCAAGATATTGTGACTTAAGTATGCAGTGTGGCTCCATTATCCTAATCTCCTAGGTGAATGGAAAAAATACTGCATACCCTAGATGCTTTCCTCCTTTTTATGTGCATGTCCTTGAACTGAATTTAAGTGTATCTTAAATGCATGATGGGAAACTTCATTCATTCGTCTCACAATCATGTAGGAAACATCATTTGCCTAGCCCTCATGTATAATAAGAAATTTCATTCACCTAGACTTGGAATCAATTGGCAAACTCAAAATGATTAGGCCCTACCTAAATTGTCCATAATTAAACATATCTTACAAAGTAATAAGACAAATTAAAAAGGTGAGGTTCCAGATGATATGACAAATACATGCAGCTAATTCTTTGAAGGGTCTCAGTATTCCCCTGAATGGGGGAAGTTGCCCACGCTGGTTTGTACATCCACAAGTCTGCTGATCAAGATTCTTAATTACAACTAAGACTATCTAATTAGGCCTATTTGTGGGTGCCTTATAAAACAACTAATTCACTTGTGAGTGTGAGTAGGCAGCCACAGTGAAAATAAAAGCTTTCTCTGCAAGAGATGGAAACATCAAAGGCCTACACAGTTAGCATGGTTTAAAAAGAACTATTGGTGCAGACCCCATAGAATGCATAGTAGGAGGAACAAGGAAAGGACCCTGCCTAGGACTGCATCCTGGAGTATTTCCTACAGAAGCTTCCAAATGCTTCCAAATGCATCCTCCTCTCACCGCCCTCTCCTTGAATTTCAGATGCACTAGTCACTCATTAGCCCAAAATGCCCCTTCTTACCCCTGTGGGGCAGGTTCTGCCCAATAAAATCTCAATCAGGGACTGCATCAACAGTGGGGGATGTTGGTTACAAGAGGCAGAGGCCAGCCACCGCCCCCAAAACTGAGAAGGCCCTCTCCTGTGTCTGGCCTGGCAACCAGAGGAAAGCAGACTCCATCACCCCTCAGCCCCTGGCACCAGGAGGATGTACAGCATAGAGGCAAGACAGAAGCTCAGGTTATGTCGGATTCACATCTGCACCCTACCCACCCACAATCTTGGGAAGACTTGACATCCAGGGGCTCGCGTCCTGGAAATTTCTACAGATGTAAACAGAAGGAAGATATAATGGGGACAATAATTCATTCTACAAATCATTCTTCATTGGGACCAGATATCTGTAAATTCCCATAAGTTTTCTGAACACATTCTGTTCTTCAAATCCTCTGTAAAATATTAGTAGGCAGATAAGCACTCAGGCTCCAAGAGCCACACAGCCTCACTTCAGATGCCAGCTTGGTAGGGCCATTCTCTCTTGGGCTTGCTGTACCTCACAATCCCCATCCATGGAACCAAGACAACCTCTAGCTGTCTCCAAGACAGTGGCGAAAGGGCAATGAGTTTATTTCTGAGACCCAGCTATGTCAACATTATGATGCTAAAAGCTTCCCTGTCCCCTGCTTTCTAGTGTGTCTGCCAAAGGGATACCTTAATGAGTGAACACTGGACACACCAATGTGAGAATTCATTTCCCCAAAGGCACAGGTCCATGTGCTTAGCTCTGCTCTGGGAACTGCAGACAAGTAGGAAGGAAACAAGACCCTGCCCTACAGAGACCATGCTTGGCAGGAAGAATTGTGGTTTCACAGGTCCTGAGCAAGTGCTCCCAAATATCAGTCTATCCTACTGTTATAATGAGGACAACACTGGTGCTGAAGAAGTCAATCAATTAACCTGGCAGAGGCTTCCTCATCTGAGGATGAGGGCAGGCTTTTCATGTTAAGCAAAATAAAACAAACACAGTGACTCCACTGACTGCAGAACTTGGCACTGGTTTGTGAATCCACAGCTTCTGCAAAAAAGCCAGGCTTCCTCTGCAGATGGCTTAGAGACCCTGCCAAGGGAGGGGTAGGGATGGCAGCCCTTTATAACAACCTTTCCAGTGGGCATTGTCACTGTTCCCATTCACATTGAGAAAGCTGAAGCTCAGCACTGGTTTGACCATCCTGGCCTCTCAGATGCAGCCTGCCCTGATCTGGCCCTGAGACCTCTCCCATGTCTGGTGCACACCCTCCCACCAGCCCAGGACACAGGTAGGGGTGATCCATAAGCCACATGTGCTCATGGGCTAGTCATCTCACTCCTTCACAGGACCCTGTTGGAGCTGTGGCTTCTCAGAAACTCCCATGCACTCTTGAGACTGCTTCACCCCTTAGTTTGGAAGTTTCCTCATTCTACAGTCAGAACACACTTTACAAGAAACTAGAGTCTTTGCAAATACACTTTAATAAAAGGCTCACTGTCATTGTTTAAGCCTTTTATTTTCACTAAACAACATACCTCCAGATGGGAAAGGTGTCACCTTGTGCAATTAAATCTCTCTCACAAAACTTAACATTCAGGAAATGCCAAATACTGTTTATAGGGACAGCTTCAGCTCAGCTCTGAGTAGGGTTTCCCATACTTCCAACTGCTTGAAGATAGAGTGGATGCCAAGGTCACAGGGTAAGGAAAGTGGCAGATGCAGCCCAAGTCAGGACTTGTCCTGACCTTTCCTAAGTGTGATACAATCAAGCTCTGATATTTCCCATCGGATGCTACTTGATTTAAAGATATTGCTGATTCTTCCCCACCACCAATTTCCTACCATTTGAACACCTCTAGACCATAAATTATTCAACGCTCTTTTTCCTGCCCACCTATGATTTTCACATTGACTACATCACCCCAAGGGGAGCCAGAGAGGCGCGCTTAATCAGAAAAGAGCATTGTTTAAACGGAAGGAAGAATTTTAAATTGGAAACTCACCACTAGATAAACACATTGACTTTGGAGAGAAAATTACCTTAAAATGTATCTTTAAACATAAATGAAAGTGTTTGATTAAAATTGAATAAACATTACTGGGGAAAGCCTAATTCTCTGAGGAGGCGCCCTGTTCACTGATAACATGAATGGACCTCACCACTGGAAATAATAAAGCCCACAGCATGCTGTCAGGCTGGGAGCAACACCTTCCAAGCTGAGATAAGAGCCACCTGCCAGGAGTGGTATGCAGGAGATACAAGCTCTGAGATGCCTAGTCTGACTCCTGGGAAGAAGCTCAGCAACAGCCAGAGAGAGGAGCTGAGCAGAAAAGGTACCCGGGGCTTTAGAGACAATCACTAAGGAAGGGAAAGAAAGTTTTCTTAGGCCAAGGGTTAACTCTGACAATTAATGGATCAGAAACCAAAAGTACGTATCTATAGAAAAAGACAAATCTTTGTTGCAGGGAAATATGAAAGTGTTTTCCTTGAAAAATTACAGGAAAAAGACAAATAGTGGCCCAACCCAAATGCCCAGAGCAGCACAATTCCTGCCTATGCTGAAGCTTCAGTTGGAAGCCACACTGCATCACCAGGAGCCCATGCTACAGCCTCCAAAAACACAGCACTGCCTTGTCTCAGGGAATGTAAGTGAGCAAACAGCCCTGATCCCACAGCAGCCAGGAAGTTCCACGCTTGGCTGAATTGATCCTATCATCAGCAACAGGATGGTTCCTGCTCACTCTGCCCTTGTTTTGCATGGACAAGGAAAACAGTCCCACCAGTGTAAACAAAGCCTGAGGAGACAAGATACACAGAAGTGGGTCAGGTGTGTGAACTTTAAAGAGTTCTGCATCCCCAGGGTGCATCCCCAGTAGCCAGCCAGGACAAATCAGAACAGAGAGCCTTGTAGCCGTTTGCTGACTGTGGGGTCACATACAGAAGCTATGTTCTGCAAAGAACCACAACCTGAGCTTCAAGGCCTTTGCAGAGTCCTGTTCTTATTTCAACTGCCCAGACAAGGAACCTCCAGAAAGTCTGACCTTGCTGCCTGGACCTGCCTGGCCAAGGAGCTGTGATCTGCAAGCAACCTATCAGGACCGAAGGTTCAGGCACACTTGGTACCTCATTTACATGGGAGGCCTGCAGTGGGAACCTGAGGGAATTTTCTCTACAGAAGCCAGCCCCTCTTCCTTGCAGTCTCCTCTAGTTTGCAACTGTTATCTTTATGGAAATAAAGCCTCCCTTGTTTTTCTTCTTGAATTCTTCCCTAGAGAAATTTTGTTGACAGATAGAAGATAATAGGGAGGGGTAGAGCCTGAGGTAATTGCAGGGGGTGGGGGCTCATGGAACTTGGGGGCAACACTCAGAAGGCATTTAGCAGATCTGCACCATCTGTTATCATACATCCTACAGCTGCCTGCTCTTTTTGCTACAGCAAAGCCTTCAGTCTGGATAGTATTTTTGCCTCCCATGTAAGAGAATTTGGGAAGAAAAGTGAACACAGACCTGCTTTGGAAACTCTATAGCTGGTTTGATCATTTCATTCCCATGTATCACAAAGGCCATGAGTCTCTTCAGAGCCAGAGGTAGGAAAAGAACTGGCCTTTTTCACACTTTGACTATCTTCTCCTCTTTAGTTGGGTTCCTGTCAGGGTTGGAACAGGAAATAGAACTAAGAAAACAGCCTGCCAAATTACTCAGTATAGTTGGATTTAACCTCCACCTTAGGCAGATCACATAGATATTGATGGCACTTACAGAAAAATGTGATTTGTACCTGCCACAGAGTAGGCCTGGGAGAGAGGCATGTTGCATGCATCCGGAGCCCTCCTGCTGGCCAGAGAGGGTAAGTTCTAACTGTCTACTAACATGACAGTGTACGGTGGGCCTAGCAGGGCTCTGACCCTTGTGAACACACAATGGGGACCAGTCCTCGTGGCAGCTGTTGAGGAGGGCATTCTGACTGTTCTCACCTTACAGAAGAGGGATCGCTCTCTCACAGGTGGCACCAGGAATGTGCAGATGCAGAAGGCCCATAGAACTACCTAACTCAAGGCCAAGAGACACCGCACAAAACTGGGAAAGTTCATGGGTGTCATTCTGCCCCCAGCCTGACCCACAGCACACCCCACCACCAATACCCTTTTTAAAGACAGGCAAAGTCCCCATGGTTCTGATGTATCCAGTCCCACGGGAAACTAACAAAGCGACCAGGTAAATAAGTCTGGTATTAAAAATTAAAGTCATGCCTTGTAAGTGTTGAAAAAATTTAGAATGTGGTCATAAAAGTATATACAGTACTTGAATGAGTTTCTTAAAGAGAAAGATCTTAAAGTTAGAAATTCACAATCATCCTGCAAGGACAGGGTGAGGTGACAGCTAATCCTCACATTCCAGGTGAAGGCTTTGTGCTGCACACGTGACCTCCCTTCTCTCCAGGGTGCTGAAGCACAGCGCGTAAGAGGAGGAGTGACACAGTCTGTGTGCCCAGATGGGCTGAGAGGACTTTGAACAACATCTTTTAAAGATACCTGCTATGTTAAGAAAGCTTTGGGGAAGAATTTTAATATCTAATTTTTTCACTTGGAAAATTTGGCTTCACAAGTGACATTGAATTAGGCTTTAATTCCAGTGTGTAGTTTATGTATGGGTAGTGTGTGTGTGTCTGTGTGTGTGTATGTGTGCACATGTGTGCAACTGTTTTGTGTGCATGTATGCTCCTACATGTGTTGGGCATGAAATAACATCAATACTGCCTTGGTCATGAAATAACAATAGCACTGCTGCTTGCTGCCTTGTCCATGGTCAGTGTGCTCTGGCTGTTTTATAGACATTGTCTCTGATCCTACAATATACCTGAAGGGGGGATACTGCCGTCCACTTCAGAGATGAGGCAGGAAGTTCAGAGAGGCTCAGTAACTACCGGAATGATGCACATATATCAAATGCTAGAATTAACGTCAAACGTAAGATTGTAGACTTCCAAACAGCACAATGTGTTCTGTCCCTGCTCCTGTAAAGACCCAGGAGGTCACCTGGCCAAAGCAAGAAAGAATGTGCACTCCAGTCCAATCTTCAACCCCTGGGTGTCACCTCAGTGGGAAAAACAGACTTACGGGCACTTTTCCCCCCTGAGGTATCTTTTCTCCCCAGTTTTTGCAGTGCACAGAAGTCAGAGGAAGCCCCAAAGAGAGCTTTGGCTGCATATGGGGGCAGAGTTGCTTCCTAGTTATAGTGATAGACAAGAATTTCAGGAAGTGCCAGAGAGATGTTTTCCTTCAGGAGGCCCTTGGCAAAGCTGACAACAGACCCGAGTGTAATCCCAGCATTCAAGGTGAGGCAGGAGGATCTCCGAGAGTTTGAGGCCAGCCTGGGGTACATAGTGAGTTCAGGGTCAGCCTAAACTACAAAGTGAGACCCTGCCTCAAAAACAAAACACCAAAAAAAAAAAAAAAGCCAGCAACAGAGAGCTCTACATCAGTTCTATCCACATAGGCACAATGAAGAGTTAGGGACACAATAGATGGGTCACTGGGAGATCAACAACTATCCCAGGTACCCCCACCAGACAGCCTTTCTACACAAAGTAGCAATAAGAAAGAAGCCAATACTACACAGCTGGTTTTCTAAAGGTTTACCACCTAGACAAAGGAATATCCAGCTAAGGATTAGTTATCACAGGTGTTTTCATTGCAAGAGCATTGTATGACAGCAACAAGTTGGCCTTTTGCCCCCTCAACTTTTCTACCTCTCACTGCAGTGGCTGGCACAGTTGATATTTCCATCAGTAGTGCCTTCCAGTTGTCTCCAGGCCCCTTGACTTGCCCACACCCACCCAGCCTGGGCACTGTGCTCCAGTGTGTCTGTCCCATGGACCCTTACCCACCTCATCAGCCATCCATCATCCATCCACCCACCCACACTCTCTGCAGAGAACTGATGGTGAGGATTTCTCCAACTTCGCCCATTTACTCTCAGCAAGGCTTGGTGAGGGTCAGGCCAGATTGGCAAAAGAGAGAATACAACTGGTCTGGATCAGAGACATGCTGACCAGCCAAGGGGGAGATATTGGTATCAAGCAAAGTAAGCAAAGTGCAATGTTTTCCTCTCCTGCTAGAGAGGTTGCACGTTTTCAGGTGCCCACCTCCACTTAGTCCATGCACAAGGAACCAGTGCCCTTGCCAGCCCCAGCTTCTCCCTTCCTGTTTCTCTCCTCCTGATGCACCCCAGGGGCAGGCTGACCTTGAGCCCCTGACCCTCAGTCATAGCCACAAAATCAGTGCTGTTTTCTCAAAGTGGCTCATTTTTTGTGCCTCCACACATTTATTGAAAGGAAACAGCAACGGTATCACAAATATAAATCCACCCTACCTGGAGACAACTGAAGCATAAACATGCTTATGATTAAATCCCAGAAGCAGATCAGAAGCAGCCGATGGCTCTGGCCCTGTGGCTCATACACCCCTTAGTTTGCAGGTCCCTCAGTAGGTGGCAGAGGGGCTGGAGCCAGCACACACCATGCAGGTGGAGGAAAAGGGTGGGGAGAATGGTTTAGGCCAAAACCATCAACGCTGCAAAGTGAACCACTGGAATCATCTCACAGGGTTTTTCCCCATCTCCCCACCTTGGACTTAGGGACAGAACCACAGCACAGGCTAAGGAGTTCCTTGCAGCCAGGTGCCCTCACTGTCATGAGACCAGCTTGGGAGCAGCGGTCACAGCTGAGCGACGGCTGCTGTGGATGGAGTGAGCAGGAGATAGGCCCACAGGTGCTATAGGGGCTTTGTATTGAGGGCTCCCCGCGGTTCCAAGGACCAAAACTCCACGTGAACAAGAGTGAGTGAGGGGGCAGCCTAGGTCTCAGTGAGTACAGTGCATCATGACTGGTCCTGATGCCTAGGGCCAGAGGTCAAAGACTGCAGAGTGAATGAGCTAATAAGCTTAGAGAGCCAAAAAGCAGAGTGCTGAGAGGAAGGAAGATGGACCTCAGAGGCAGCAAGGTGGACAGGGCCTCTGCTAAGGGTTGTTTTGTGCACATTCACCCCCCAACACACACACATTCTGTATACATTCTGGTATCCTATGGAGCATATCCCTGTCTTTGTAACCTAGGAAATGTGTCTCAGTCCTAGATCTGCCACTTGAAAGTCCTGATCTCCAGCCAATTCTACTTCCCATTCAGCAGCCTTCCCTCCTGCAAAGCACACTGATCACGAACCTTCCAGGACCTGTCAGGAGACTAATGAGGTGAATCATGTGAAACTGCAGAGCCTGTAGTAAATGCTTAACAGATGCTAGATGTTCTTCCACTTACTGTTTTGCAACACTTCTTGGTGTCCTATCTTATCTAGACCTTTACCAACTGGCTGGAAGGTCCTGAGCAGAAAGGCTATGATTGTGGGCTGAGGCTGGTGTGAGACAGTGAGCAGCACAAAGTCATTTTGAATGACAGTCTTATTTTCACAGACACTAAAAACCTGACCCAATGCTTAGAAATCCTAAGCACTGTTTGGAGCAAGAGCACACTGGGAAGTCATCTCAGATTCAGAGCCATAGCCTCCGCTCCATTTCTTACTTATGTCCAGGTAACAGGTGAGGTTAGAGGTCCCAGTCTCCAAAGGGCAGAAGACAGTGAATTAAGAGTGATTTTTCTTCTTGTGCCTGAAACTCCAACATTCCTTGTAATTCTCCAGAGTTTGTCGCCCAAGGAATGTGCCATGTCCTATGTTCATTGTCTGAGTTTAGAGAAATAACACATCCAGAGTTTGCAATCCTATGTGTTTAAGAGACACTTTGACCAGAATGCATCTGAAAATGTTATCCAAGAAATCATTTCTCTCTCTCTCTTTTTTTTTTTTTCGTACCGGGGATCGAACTCAGGACCTTGAGCTTGCGAGGCAGGTGGCAGCAACACTGAGCTAAATCCTCCAACCCAGAAATCGTCTCTTTTTAAAGGCAAAACTCCATTGGTAATACCATCTGTTTATTTATATGCCTTTAATTTATAAAGTTTCCTGGAGGATATATCTCTTGTTAATTTTTTAAATGTAACCATGGCTTTTCTTTCTTTTATGCTAAACTGGTCTAGTCACATAAAGCCAGAGATAGTTTTCATTTTAACAAAAACTTACTGTTGCTTTTAGAGAGATGATGCATGCTGCAGCAACTTCAATCAGGGATAATAACACCATGAAACAGAACCAAGGGACTTCTTCTTCAGTGCTTGGTACAGAAAGGGCCAAGAGGGTGCTCTGAGGGTTAGGGGTGCAAAGGCAGGCAAGACATCACAGAAAGATGCCTGGGGTGATACCACAGTTCCCCATGCAATTAGAAGGCCTCAAAGAAAATCTTCTAACTGTGGCTTGAGGCTCCAAGTGGGGAGAAGCTGCAAGATTTATCAAAGGGATGAGAATTCAAAAGACAACTCCTTTTAAATGTACCAGACATATGTTTAAAGTGACATCTGTTATTACAGTTCATTAAATACAGATTAGACTTCCTCCCAAAACCTACACATCTACACCCACCCAAAATACACAAGGGATTCCTTAGGCTTTCCCTTAGGGCTTACTGACCCCAGCCCTTAGATACATCTGACCCAAATGCAGGGCACCTGATTCCTTGTTGTCTTAATTACTTATCATAGCTGGGACAAAATGCCCAACACCCACAAGTTAAAGGAGGAGAGGTTTATTTTAGTTCACAGTTTGTAGAGATTTCAGCCCATAGTTGGCTGTTTCCAAAGTAGGGAGGCAGGATAAAGGGGCACTGCAGAGGAGAAACAGTTCATGGCATGATAGGCACCAGCACTCAACAGAAGAGAAGGAATATAT